AATGTCATACTCTCAAGATAAAGGGGGTAGCATACTTGCCAACATTGGTGAAATAAAATAACAGAGATTTTACTAGCAAGGCTACAAGTTTTACTAGCAAGACTACAAGGTTAAATTTTTTAGGCTACAAGTAAAGTTTTGATACATCATACACAATCATGTAAAGCAAAAAGAGAAATTCAAAATTGGAAATAGTATAAGCACTTATATTTAGATATGTATATAATATGTATAGTATATAAATCAATAGTAAAAGTATGTATTAGTAAATAAATCTTAATCTAATGAAGATTTTTTAAAACCATTATTTATAATTGCTTAAACTATTAACACTAAACAAACTGCAGTGCTGGCTATGGCACTATCTGTTGAGGAATAAGAGAAGTATTTTTGCCATCAGCGGATATTTTATCACAAAAATTTTTTTTTTAAATTTCTTCAACAAATATGAAGAAATTTGAGAATATATGGGTAAACAGGAGATAATCGTAAAATACAGGAGATAGTCGTAAAATACAGGAGTCTTCGCTAAAAAATAGGAGACTGGGCAAACAAAAAAAGGTGTGTTTATTCAGAGAAAGCAATTTTTACATCTGATTTCATGACTTAAAATATTGTTTGAACTAATTGATTAACATATTTGAGATCAACCTCTCAAACCATTGAGATTGAGTTCTAGAACGTGAAAATCCGATCATTAGATCAAAAGTTATTAAGGGTGTTTCGTTTTTTACTTTGTGCACTGTACAACATCATATTTGGTGCAATTTTTAGAAATGGATTATTTACATATTTAATACCTATCTAATACATACAATTTTATACCTCAATAAGTTTCAAAAAGTTATTTAAAAAAAAAAAAAAAACGGAAGTGATAAAACCCTCAGAAAATAAAAGAAATTTTTTTTTTAAATATATCATCAATAAAAAATCTTTTCAAGCTCATAAAACTGATAGACCATTAAGGGATTTTGAGGAAAATTTAACTGCATAAATTAGTTTTAAAAATTTGTTGTATATTTAGAAAATAAGCAATTATAAAAATTGATGACATTCTTAAACTGATATTTATTAACCTTTTTCACAAGTATATGATTAAATGCAGCTCATACAAAAAATGCTATATTAAATTGAAGGATGCAATTTTATTTTGAAAAAAATTATTATCAAAAATAAAAATAAAATTAAGTAGAATTAAAATAATATTTTGGATTTATTGATTCAACGCAATATTTTTTGTAGACAATAATGACTGATTGGGGAAAAAATCCCCCATTTAGTAATTGATTCTATCAAAATTAAAAGCAAATAACATAAATTCAAGCAAAAAATCATCAAAAACTACCCAATGTTGTCAAAAATATGATATTTTTATAGTTTCTTTCACGTATTCATGTCACTAATAAAGGTACCAGGAATTTCGAATACAAATATACTATAAAATAATGCGGAAAAAGCATAAAAGAATTTTATTCAATATATTTTTCCACTTCATAATAGCTGCCCAACAGATAGCATTGTGTATTTAGGCCATATTGAATCGGGGGTCATTATTAAAAATTAATATTTTAGAAATCTTAGACAAATTGAATAGTAAATAGTGTAGAAAATTAGAAATAGTGAAAACAAAAGCAAAGTAAAAAATTGGCAATAATGATAATATACACTTCTCCAATATAAATAATGAAATCAAATACATAAATGTAATAACAAAAAAAAAGAACTAAAATTTATATTTCGTTCATTTAAGATTTTAGAAATAGGGACTTTTGATAAAATTAACCAATGATATAAAAATCATATACTATCCTATAAAATAGTATACTAATACTATTTGTATACAGTCACACAAAAATGTACAAGGGAAATTGCTACGCTAATTCCAAATTTAGCACCATTTAACTAACATGAAGATATGAATACAATGTTGCCATTGCTAAATAAATTCAAAAAAATCTGAATAAATATATAGAAGTTCAGAATGAAATGAGAGTTTTTAAGTTTTCAATTATGCATCTATCTTTTTCCAAAGCACCATAAGATCTACTTTAGTGAAAAGTTTTTATGTGATTATTGAGATAATGTTTCGAAATAAAACCTCGGTTACATTTCTCACAGGTTATAAGTCGTTCTCCAGTGTGCTTCATCATGTGTCTCGTAAAAAGTGTTTTAGAACCCGTGACATAAGAACATATTTTGCAAGAATACGTAGAGGCACATTTTTGACATTTTCCAAAAACTCTAGCTAATAGGTCACTCACAATTATTCCATTACAAACACTACAGGCTTGAGGACCTAAAAAGAGATAAGGATATATTTATAAGCAATAAAAAAATAAATTATTAAATTTGCCTTGAATATTAAAAATTTAATGTGAAAGAAAATGCAAGTTTTAGTGTGCAACGATTAAGCATGAGCATGAATTACAAAGTTACAGTACATAATTATTGAAACTAAAAATAAGTATATGTAAATACCAGGTACTAATAACAACAAAATTTTTCTGTTAATATTTATATTTTAATATTACAGGTAAGCATTTTATGAAACTGTAAAATTAATAAAAATAAAATGTAAGAAAGTTTTAATTAAGAGAAGTAATAACTTGCTTCCAAACGGATAAAAAATTTTGTCATGTCTTGCACGATTATTTGTCGATAAAAGAAACACTACAATGAAAGATGAACTAACACAATGATAAAAAAATTTAATTGCATTTAAATTATTTAAAAATTAACTGTAAACATCAACTTTGCTGTTTGTGTAATAATTGTATATCATCTCTTTGTTTCTTGGAAGAAAAAAGAAGGTTAAGTAGGTGAAAAATAACAAAAAGTGGAATATTCTCAAATGTTTAGGGAAATGTTTACTGACACGAGTTTAATATTTTGCAATATTTTGATATTATTTAGAAATTGGTTATAAAAATAGTTCAATACAATATTTAACTAATTTCAGATTATTGAATAACTTTTCCTTTGCTTGATAAAATTTTCAGGAACAGAACAGTTGATTCCTTAATAAATATTTATGAATATTGAAAATAAAATTTTTTATGAACAGTATATTTATAATGTTCAAGAAAATTTCTGGTAACATGAATCTGATGCGTAGCAACAATTTGATATTAATTAGAAATCTGCTTAAAAAATGACTTGATACATAGTGTTGTAGTGTTAAAAAATCCTTTACCCGTACATGATTAACTACAACAAGGGGTGCGAGGGTGAAATTTAAAACTATCAAAGATAATTTTTGATCAACGATTATCAAATCACCTGAAGTTATTGAAGATTTTCTTACTTAGTTTTTTTAATTTTAATTTATAATAGCGTCTGTAATCTTCCTCTTCAGTTTTACCAAAAACCAATTCTAAAGATACAATTATTTTTATTTGTTTTACTTTTTCATGCTTAATCAATTCACAATGCATAAGACCTAGCAGATTTATGAATAATTTATTAATAAAACTTTTACATCGAACTGACTTAAGCAATTTAAAAAAAATTTCCATATTGCATTATTGTTTTACATCTTTATCAACCCTCTTTCTTTGAAACAAAATTTTTTTATTTTATTTCCAATGGCAGACATGAAAGACAAATTTGTAGCTGAGAACACAATACAAAGACAGAACAAAAAACGGTAACAAGAGCTACAAAAGGAAAGAGTCTATAGGTCATTATTAATGTATCTCGCCCGCCAATAACGTTCCCACAAGGGCCCAGGAGGAAGTGCAGGGCAACGTCTTAGATGGTTAGCATCCATTTCTTCATTTTGAAATAAATATAAAGGAAAAAATATATGAATCACAGTTTAAAAATCAAAATGTAAGGTTATATAGACGACTACTTCTACAATTGAATAAATGGTTCAAGTTAGCAAAATTGCTTTCAAACTTAACACATTCACAAAGTTAGCTTTCAATTTGTTAAGTATTATGAGCTGTTTTTTCTTAAAAACATTTTTATCAAGAAAAGTTCAGATAATTTGATAATTGGTATTATATTCATTTAAGTTCTGGAACACTATGCTTAATACAGATTACAACCTAATGTAATCAAAAATGTCTCAAAATACCTTGTATAAAATAGATTATAACCTAATGTGATTGAAATGTCTCAACTCTTTTGTCCAAAAAAAAATTATACATGTATTTATATAAATTAGATATGGCTTCAGATTAAATAATAGAAATTTTATATTTTATTTTACAAACAATAATTTTGACAGAAATTCTAAGAAATGTTTCAAAAATTACAAGAGAAAAACTCAATAACTACAAAAAAATGCATAATTTTTGTTGAACACTTTGTGAAAAATTTTGAATCAAAAGAATTTGAGCAGAGAATGTTACCAATATAACTCTACTAGCTTTGCAGGGTCATTTAAAAGTTTTTTGTTGGTTTATTTAGGATGGTTTAATTTTAAACTTAACAATAGAATGAAATTTGAATTGATGTCAAGTTTAATGCCCTGAATTAAATAAGAAAACGAAATTAAAAAAATAAATAAAAATTAAGAATATACTTTACTATTTAATTAGTAACAAAAAATACTTTATTGCAATTCCTTACTAATTATTACAAATATTACAGAAAAAACAGAGATAGAACTTGCCACATTGAAGTGACATTGCGAGTTAGCCAAGTAGCTGTATACTAGTTAAAATACATTTATAATGATTTAAAATCAAATATGATAAAGCATTTATTAGATGCAATTATTTTCCTATTTTCTCAAAAGTAAATAAAATAACTAAACTGACAATTAAATTAAGTTTGTATTTTCTGTGTGAGCTGATAATTATGTTATTTTTCTAAACGTTTCATTTCATAATAAAAATGTAAAATTAAAACCTTAAACTCAAAAGTGGACATAAAAGTATGGTAAAATTGCCAGAGGTTTAGATTATCTAGGAGCAGAGTTAGAACAACAAATTTTTTCGGCATTAGGTCCTGGATTATAAAATTATATTCATATAATGAAAACATACACATTTACAAGATGAAATTCTAATTTATTTTAAGAATGGATGTTGAGTTTGCAATATTTTATCACTTAAGATTAGAGTTTTAAATGAGTTGTTTCATGATATCTTAAATGATGTGCTGTTATAAATCCTTTTCCACAAGTAGAACAGTGAAAAGGACGTTCTCCCGTATGTCTCATTCTGTGCCTCACTAAATGAGACTTAATGCTGGTAGAATAACTACAACCATCACAGCTGTAAACAGGTATGGATATTTCACCAACAACAGATGCTATTCTTAAAAAGTTTTTCGGATTCATAACACACCAACCTGTAAAAATAACATTATATTAATCTTAGAAAAAAAATCCATGCATGATACCATTTTGACAAGTATTAAAATTTAATCAAAATAAGCTTAAAAGACAATTATACAGGGTCTATGAATAGAACATAGGAATTTCAAAATATTTTTTCCTAAATACATAACCACATATGAATAAAAATATAATTCGAAAATGTTAAGAGAAGTACAAAGTTTTATAACTATTTGGGGAAATTCAAATATCATGTAAGCATCTAATATAAGGAGGAGGTTTGAGATTTCTTTATTTTTGCTGGCAAGGGGAATACGAGGAAAGATTAAGTAAAAAATTAAAATAAATATAATAAAAAAAATTAAATTTGAATTTTGGGATGAAAAGAAATTGGGAGAAAAAATCCTTTAACAAATTTCAGAGGTCAACAGTTTTGAACACAAAAGATTTCTAAGGAATATTTTACATGTAATTTTATAAAATAGATTAAAATGTAAATTTTGTTTAAGTATTTTATTTAAATATAATCCCATAATTAAAATACTGCAGTAAAAATCAAAGCTAAAACCAGGATTGGAGGGAGGGCTGCAACTCTCTTCTGAAACCATAAGAGAGGATTTGTAATTCATTTATTTTTACTGACAAGACGGGGGGAGTCCAAAATTGCTGAAAATAGGCTTACATACTATTTGATTGACCTCTTTCAATATGTTGCTATTGGTTCAATTATTCACTTAACAAACATCAAGATCATAAATATCAAGATGTCCCTAGATGTTGTATGAAACAAAGCTGGAGTCATCAAGGGTTGAGTCAGGATTTATTTTTAAGATACATTTTTGTTCAAATTTCTTCATCTTATAAAATATTCAATTTTAGTAATCCATATATTTAAAATTTAATACTAAACTTATTTAAAAAGTATGTGTAATAATATGATAAAATACTAATAATTTGAAAGTGAAATTTTGTGAAGAATCTTTGAAAATTTAATTTTGCAACGAAGTAATTTAAATAGATTTTTGAACAGACTGTTTCAGTTTAATTTTAATATGAGGAGGAAAAACTTCGTAAAGTTTTTTATGCCACTTCAGTGTAAAAATTATTTTTCTATGTTTGATAATTAATTTTTAATGAGGCTGGACAAGTTACATATTTAAAAATTTAATTATAACCTAAATAATTAATAATCTCTATGTAAAAAACAGTCACTTTTAATCATTTCTTCAAGAATTATCAAGCAGTTTAACTTATAAAACTAGATTATCAACAACTTATTTTACTGAATGCAAGTTTAAAAATAATTATGACTCTCACAATGATTTAAATATATTCAGAGTGAAAGATAAAATTATAAATGACCAGGGTTCACACCAGTATAGTGACAATTGCTCAACAAATGTCGTTAAAATCACACCCATAGGTGACAAATTTGTCTCTTTTAAATATGTTTGAAATTTACAAAATAGTAAGGAAAAAAAATTTTTTTTGCATTGAATTCCATGCATTTAAAAAAATTATATAGTACTAATTTTTTAGTTTAATGCGTGGTATGGAATTTTAAATGCGTGGTATTCAAAAGAATAACAGAGAATTCCTAGACAAAAAATTTTAAAATTCATTGCGAAATTTCAAATTTACATGTGCTATGGTTTGGATTCATGTATTGACATTATTAAGGCTCACGCCAGTGACATGTCGCCAAATGTCATTAGAATCATGCGCATTGGCAAAAAATTTGTCATCTTGAATGTTCAGAATTTACAGAAAACAATAGTAACGAAAAGTAGCTTTTTGCATCGAAGTTCATGCATTAAAAAAAATTTTACAAATTTTATTGTTCTACGCTTGGTATGGAATTCAAATAAAATTATTAAAAGTGACAGGTACAAAAAATTTAAAATTAAATATTGAAATTTTAAATTAACATCTTATGCAGAGCTTCACAATCATATATTGACAGCATAATTGTGCATAAATATTTTTATTTTTTTTGGAATTGACTACATTTAAAATTTCATAATTCTTAGATGATTTTCAATGTAATAATTTTTTAGTTCTTACTTTATCTGTTTTTCGCATTTGTTTATTTACCTGGTCTCAGCATTTTAATCTCTATGTTGTTAGATTTTTTTTAAAACTTAATTTTAATAAAAAACAATCTTTAATCATTAAGGAATAATGAACCTAATTAGCTTTAGAGTGTTATAGATAGCAATAAATAATTTTTGAGGTGTACCATGACATAAATTATGTACTTTTCATATTTTTCTAAAATTTATTTAGATATTAAGCTTTTGGACCACTAAATGAATACTTAGGACCACTAAATTTTCATTGCTGGTGTGAATCTTAGACATTATAATTGTTCCTCAATAAAATAATATTTTTTGCTCTGTTAGAATTGACTTTATTTAAAGTTTTAAAATTTTCAAATGATTAATTTCTAAATGTAATATTTTGTCAATTCTTACTTTAATTTTTTCCTCATTTATTTATTTATTTGGTCTCTAATCTCTATAACTTAATCACATTCTAATCTCTTTGTTGAATATATTCATTAACATTATTTTAGCAATTTTGCACTTAATATTAATAAACACTAATTTTAAATTTTTATGGGCTAATGAACCTAATTAGTTTTAGAGTGTTATATAAGGCAATTAATAACTTTTGATGTGTATCATAACAAAAATTATGGAATTGTAAAGTTCGATTTTTTCTCAAGTTTGTCTACCATAATGAATTTTTGAACCATTAATTTTTCATTGCTCTTGTAAACCCTATAAATGACTCTTCTGCAATCATTTTAAAATAATGACATGAATAATGTTTAATAAAATAAACACAATTAATTCTTTTTGACATATTTTAATTTTTAACTTTCTAAGGAGTGAAATTACTCATAGTTTTTAAAAACAACTTTAAGACAACAGATATGAAGTAGCTAATAGATCACAGTGAGAAAATAAAATACAATTGAATAAAATTAAATAAAGCATATTTATAACATATTTTTTTTTTATTATTATTAAAGTTTTACACACACAACATTTTACACTATTAAAAAACATATAAACGCAACAAAAAAGTATATATTTGTAACGCAATATAAGCAATTTGTGGGGAGATCTCCGTTTGTTATGGAATAAAAATAATAATAAATGCTTATGTTTGAATAAAAAAATACTAAAAATATCTCATCACATATTTAAAAGAAAATAATATAAAATTTCATATTATGAAGACCCAGAAACTCTGTATTTGCATGGATGGCCTTATACAAAAAGAACAAAAATTAAATATTACGCGGTTCAGTCCAAATGGTCTTAGTTTTGACACAGAAAAGAAAAATACTATTAATTTGTATAATATATTAGCAATATTTGTATTACAAGAGAGACATATTATCCCATTAATAAAAGATAAATATTCAAAGGGGACAAGGCCATATTAGGTTAAGAAATTATAGCAAAAAATTTAATTAAATTATGCTTGTTATAATGAAACTAATTTATTTGATTTATTTTCTCGAAATAAATGATGAAACACAAATAAACATAGGTAAACTGCTTTGCCCTGAAAACCAAAACAACCTAAGTTACGTAGGATTGTTTTCGGCTGCTTGTTTCTGTACATAATCGCATCCCTTATAGAACTATTTAAATTTAAATAACATTTATAATAAAACAGCATTCCCGCTGAATGCTCAGAAAATTTGCGCGTGTTTCTAGGGGAATCGGATTGGCGATCAAAATGATGACGTACAGCAGAACTCTTTACCTATGGCAACATTTCACATGCTTTCACCATTAGTGTGTGGAGAGTCATAGTTAAAAGAGTTCTAAATTTTAAAAAGTAATTTTGACAATTAAATACGAAAAATGTTAAGAAAGGGGGAAATATCATAGTACATTCCCATACAATTGGAGAAGATAAGCGGGGGGAGGGGTTAAGATCTGGAATCGGTCTTCTCCCCAGATGGCGTATTCAAACGTTGAGATCGCGAATATTGTGTAAAGCAATTTTAAGATTTGATTTGGTCGGTACTTTAAGGTCGTACTAGAGCAGGGGTGTCTCGAACGCAGGAGTTGACAGTTGAAAGTGAACCTTGGTACTTATAGTGATCTTCATCTCAGACATCACTCACCGAGATCCATGCTTCAGTTAGTCTTGTGTTAGTTATATGCTATGTTCATTCTAGCGTGTATATATCATAGATAAAATAATATCATATACTATAATCGTATATAATATTATCAAAAGTCACTTTACTTCATGACCTGGAAGAAACAGATTTTACATCCTTGTTTTAAATAATTTCCATGCATTATTTTTCAATTTCTAATATTGATTTCTAAAAAAGAAATGTTGCATATTAAAACAATGGCAGCTTTATTAAATGGTATTATCTTGAATGAGGAGCAGTGGCGTACGCAGAATTTTTTCAAGGGGGGTGTTCANCGGTGACATTTTTTTCTAAAGTCCTTTTTTTATGACTGCCCACATACCTTCGATCCTATTGATCAGAAGCAAAAGTAACCTAACCAGCCGGTATCCAACATAGAACTAACGGACTTCTGAAATTACATATACCGTTGAACATTTAAAAATAACGCTGAAATTTAAACGAATCAGAATCACGATTGGGATTCAACATCGGCCAGCTTGGAGATCAACCGCTATCACAACTTGGTGAGAATCAAGGGGCACCCTCAAATATAGTCTACTCCTATTTTTTAAATGAAATAATTAAAATGAATGTGAATTCGCAAACTTTGTAATAATAAACAATCTAATAGTTTTCAAATGACAACTGTCAGCAATGAAAAATTGCATACTAAATTGAGCTAAAATTGCATACTAAATATAAATAATTATTAAAAGCGTGCAAGATGAATAAAATTTGCTTTTGCCTTGATTTTTATTAAACAGTTTTCACAATACTAAATCCGTGATACGACCAATAATTACGAAACTTATTCTCGTTGATTTTACGTGCTTGTGCTCACCTGAAATAAAGAACCGAATTATGATTAAATATTAAAGTATATGTAATTTACTTTTCTAAAAGAATAGAGCTATAAGATAGAAAATATCACTGTTGTTATCTTCAAGATAGTATTCTAACTGTATTGTTTCAAATTAATGGATAACAACATTCGATAAGCCATTGGCGATCGCAACACTCGAATACGCCATCTGGGGAGAGACCGGTTTCATGCCTTTAGCCCTTCTCCCCTCCCTCTCCTCCTCTTTTCAGTTGCATAGGAATGTTCTACGATATTTTCTCTTTTCTTAATATTTTGCTTTTTTACTAAATAAAAATATTTTTTAAAATTCCTGTGATGCTTTTCTTTAGAACTAAGTTTAATGTAGTTTTCAGTTCCATATAGTTTTCCAACTTAAAAGATTTTAATTTGTAAGAAAATCAAGAGAGAAACTAACGTACTTCCTTCCTCTATGACTTTCCACACGCTAATGGGGAAAGCATGTGAAGTCTGTAGAGCGTTCTGCTCTACGCCACCTGCAGCCCATTTCGATCGCCAATAGTTGAATCACAAAAGTGTAGTAGATAGTTAAACTTAGATGTATTAAAAATATAATTCGCAATAAATTATTGATAAGCAATATCTCAGCTAAACTACAATTTTATTTCTTCAGATTTAATAAAGGTAAAATGTAGAAGGAATATTTACCATCTTTAATACTTAAAAATATTTTTAAAAAACTAGTTTTTTAATAAACTAGTTAGCTCTTTATACATTCAAATCTTTACAATTTGTCTTATGGATGATAATTTCAATTGAACTAAATTTTATGATGTTATTTGTTTGGCAATTAAGAATGCAAAAGAGGCTAAAGTATGTGTATAAAATTTTTACTATGTTTAATTAGAATAAATTAAATTCTGGTACATTTAATGCTGAACTTCATTCTGTATACTCTAATTCATTTCTATAGTTAATAAAGTAGCTGAAAACTTCTAATGTCAAGTAATTTAGGCAGAAGAAAAATTACAAGGAAACAACAACTTGTAATTCGCTTCAATTGTCAAGTCAAGTTTTGAGGTTAACTCATGTTCCATATTTAAAAAGAAATTTAGTTATTTGTTTTGCTTGAAACTCCGTTCCGCATTCCAAGACATCACTATTTTTATGCATAAGGCAAATTGTGCTCAATTTCCAGTCTTCTGGTAGAAATTCACGAGTCCATACAAAATCAATAAGGTGATGAATTTCTACGGTATTTCTAAATGCAGAATTTTTAATAAGATCTGAGAGGGTGGAATCTTGGCCAAGAGATGTGTTCTTTAGCTTCGTAATTCCTCCTATAACTTCCATTAAGGATGGCTACAGGACAATCTCATTGTTTTGTCAGCACCAGGAAGAGGACTTGTTAAAAGCTCACCCTATGAATTTCTATTCAGCACACAATTCAGAGAAATATTCATTCCATCAGTGCAGAACTCCTCCCCCCCTCGTTTAAAAGGAATTTATCCTTGTCTCTAGAGGCAGTAGGTCTATTATTGAACTCTTTCCCGCCGAGATTTATTTCACGAAAGATAACTCAGCTTTCATTTTACGAGGAACATCTTACGTTGTTCCTCGTAGATATTTAACATCCTTGATGTTTAACATCTGTAGTCCTCATGCAAAAGTTTCTTTTTGGCCTTTCCCCCCCCCTCTCCTTGCTTTTCTGTTGTCCTCAACTTATTTTCTTGAATGTCTCCTCTGCATTATGTTTTTATATGATTACATCAGGGGTGCCGGATGGACAGAGACTTGGAGGAGACATCCAGAGGTCTCGGCGAAAGATTTTCATTGTTCAGAAAATTTTGCTAAGCCATACGGCAAATTTACGAAATTTATTTTCTCTCTTTTTATTCAGAAAACAAGGGGAAGTTATTGACTATTACACATTAAACTTTTTTGATCAAATCGGATCAAATATCTTCTTATGTCTAATCCCCATCTCGCCATTGAAAAGTCAATTCGTAAATTGCTCGTCAAGGAGCTTCAATTTCAGAACACAAACGAGCCAGGTTCATCAGAAGCTGAGAGATAAGACGCCAATTAGCTCCTCTTCAACAAAAAAAAAATACCTCTCTTATTTTTATGGAAAAGAAAAAATTAGAAAGAGTAACAATATAAGAACAATTTGGTTTATATAGGCGAATGTTGCATGAAGTTGAAAAAACAATTATTGATTTAATCACATACTGAAAAAACTTATATTAATTTTTAAATACATAAAAATTTTCAACGATTGAAAGACTGCGTAAACAATACAAAATTAATATAACATAATACAACATATAATAAACAATGAATATTAATAACTTAATGTTTATCAGTACTTTTGATTATCTTTCTGTATTAAAAAAAATTGCTATTGCCTCTGTTGCCACCGTTTCAGAAAATTATCAGCGAATAAACTTCTCGATGCTATAACTCAAAAACTATTATATGAAATAGTATGAGATTTTATAGATTTTAGAGAACTGATTGAAACCCGTCCTCGGCGGTCAAAAATTCCCCGCGGACAACGAATTTCTTGATTCCGACGTCCGCGCGGACGGCCATTTTCCCGTCTTGACATTAGTCATTTAAATTATTTCATTTCATAAAATAAATACTAGGTTACTATTAGTAACCTAGAATTTCTTTTATTACTGTATAATGTAATCCTAGTAACTACTAATTCATTGTGCAACTTATATAAGAAACTCACTATAAGCAACTATATGCACTATAAGAAACTATAAGCAACTTATATAACAAATGTTTGTAATAAATAAGAGAAAATTACAGATTTATTTATTTAGAAGCTATGGGTTAGTTTCAAAGGAGGACGGGTACATTGTTGGACAAGCCGTCCTCGGGGACGGGTAAAATTTCTGAGTTTTTTCGAGTCCTGGATTGAATAACATTTATAGATTAAAATGTATTTAATGCGGTTGTTATTTTTTGAATTATTTTACGTCATACGTGAAGACTTCTTTCTTGCGCCGCGTTACTCAGTTTAGCGAAAACTATTAGCAGGAGAATAGTGATTTTTTGGAAGCCACGTATCCTTATGATTGCAAATGAGTAATTCGTCTCACTTTGTTTAAGTTTCGAATTAGTTTTGTTGTATTTGTTGTTACTTATGCCACTTGCCAACACTAGCAAGTCTGCTTGAAATCAAGCAAATTTTAAGGCAGAGGGTGCGCTTCTTGTTGTCTTCCAGTGGCGCCATTTATGGTCAAGAATACGACTTAAGCAGCACACACACGTCACAGCCCGTTTAACAGGGGGGTGACCCAATCATACTCCATTCATCCACAAAATCGTAATTTTAACCTGAAGCAGAGAATGACCAATCTCCATTTCAGTACAACAGAGGTATTGATTTGTCATGGGAACTTTAAGGACTTAGTGACCTCGACAGATTTAATGTGCACCAGTAACCATTTAATACACGGGGATTCTTCAGACGGTTAAATTAGAACTCACGTTCTTACGAACACGAGTCCGATGTCCTACCAACCATGCTATCCAGGCCCCAGTTTAGAAGTAATCAAATGATTTAGATTAACGATTTTTCAAAATTTTAGAAAATTTAATAGCAATAAAATAATAATTTTTGGAAATCATGATACTCTGTAGAATAAAGATTAAAAAAAAACAACCTTTCTGGATCTTCTTCAAAATTTAAAAAATTTGAAATTATTCAATTTCAAAGTTTTGATTGTTTCTTATAAAACTCAATCGATAGTATAAGTATAAGAAATATAGTATAAGAAAGATTAATATGTATTTTTTCCGTCTTTAGTATTGAACAAAAACAATATATTCACTTTTTATTAAAAAGAAAATATTATAATTAGGGGACTCAATGTCAATATTTATCTAAACTAATATCACGAATTCTTTTATTCGTTCTTTGTCTTCGACTCTTGTGTCTTCCTTTCCTTTATCGCTTATATGACGCGTCTTGTGTGACGTCAGACTACCCATTCCTTCTCCTCTTTTCTAAGTTCTTCTTCATTTTAAAGGAATTATATTTTTTAATTTAAAGCTATATGATTCAAATTTTTAGACACATATATTTGACTTAAATTTCAATTTTCTTCCTGAGTGAATTTGATTATTTAAACGAATTTACCACCGTGTAAAAAACAATATAGTGAAATTAACTTCATCTGATTGGAATTTTTATTCCTTTGGCTACAGGAAGTAGTACAAATGTATAATTTCAGAATACTTTATTTCTATTTAGAATTCCATCAGCCAATTATTTATTATTCCATTTATGGGATGGTGAACAATTTTTTCTTCATTTTAGCTGTGAATAATTAATTTCTTTTTAATATTTACTTATCAAATAGTTTATTAATTATTTTATTGGTTTTGAACAAAAGTGAAACATTTTACCTAACCGCCCATTGTGAGCCAGTGGGGTAGTGGAGGTAGATTCCACAATTTCACGATCAATGGCCTGATTGTAGCAGTCTAGTCAGCGTTTTGCGTAGGACGTGAGCTTTAAGCCGCTACTGAGATACGTTATCTAACCCAAGTTCTTCAGTATCTTAACCACCGAGCCACCTCGGCTCTTTTATTAGCATAATTAATTAAATATAAAATTGTTAAATCTGTATAATACCAAAAATTAGCGTATTGTTAAATACAAATATAATAATACATGTAACANCATCTCAGTCACCCGTTGCCACCCTCAGCAACAAGTGAAGGAAAAATATCACTATGGTGATTTTGGTTGGTTGGCGCGGGGCCGGAGGCCATAGCGACCAACCCGTTTGTGATAATATAAAATTGGTAAATCTGTATAATAGCAAAAATTAGCGTATTGTTCAATACATATAACATTGTAGTATTATACAACATTGTATTATTATATACATAATGTATATAATAATACGAACAAACTAATTAAAAAAATTTTATTGAGGTAAATTAAATTCGCATTTATTTAGGATTCGGTGAAATCACAATGATAATTCTCTACCACCAATAATATTAGTTCGCAGCTCCACTAACTTCCCTTTTTGCTTGAGATGCCAGCATACACTCTTGATCAAACCAGTTGTTCGATCTAGTTCTTTCCGTGGTACCCAACAAATTGTTAGCTGTATTTATAATGGCCTTCTTTAGCATGCTCCATTTAGTTTCCACTCTTTCCATTTCAGCAAGGTCTGATGAGCCAAGTACCTCATTTAAGTTGCACTGGAGGCTTTTCTTGGTGGCTTCATCTATCACTGTCAACTCTCTTTAAACTTTCGTCCTCTTAATTTACGAGCGTTTCAAATCTTAGCAATAACTAAGAAATGATCGGAATCACAGTTAGCACCTAGGAAGGTTCTTACGTCCTGGTTGTCCGATACGTGTCGAGAATCAGTAAGTATATGGTCAATTTGATTTTGCGTCTCTCCATCAAGAGATCACCAGGTCGCTTTGTGAATTCTTTTGTGATCAAATAAAGTACTGTATATAGTCATGCCATTCTCAGTAACAAAGTGGATCAGGCTAATGATAACGCTGTCAGGAGTTTTAATTATTAGTGCTCTCGTGTATACTGTAGGTGATGATGCTATCACAATCCACCCAAATTTGATACAGTTTGGCTCTCCTCTAAATTTAAAAGCATTAATTTTAACGGTGCCTTGCACCTAGTTTATCTTAACTACAACCGAGTGTTACGCCAAGCCGGTTCCCCGGATGGACGCTATCATTCAAGCATTCGAAGTGTTTTTACGCTCTGTGTTGGTGATCGAGAAATTTTGTAAGATTCTCTTTCCTTCTCTGCGTGCTCGTTTTTCTGAACTTTATGATTGTCTGCAAATTACTAAGGTTGCGCATCTTATGCGAATCTGGTAATTAGGATATAACAAATTTTATATATATATATTTATTTTTGAGATATAACCAGCCGAGCATGCAGAGAAGGAGACACGTGTTCCCGGATAGGAAATACACGAGGTGATCCAGTGCTCCTCTTTCCAATGAAGATGTTTTTTGTTGAATGGTGACAAATAAATGACTAGCTGTGAAGAATCCAGGACTCTTTATTTTTTCCTTGGACCAGTGTTCCTGTGGCCCCACTCATACGACACGTGCACATGGCAGCAACGTTCCACTGTACTTTCAAATTCTTGACCTGATTCCGTTCTCTTTTCCTATTTTGGCGTTCACATCACCCTCAATGATCTTAAGCATCATGTCTCGGACAGCTACTGTATAATGTACGAAGATCCTCATAGAATAGCTTTTTCTCTTCCCCGTCTTTTTCCTCTGTAGGCGCATGAGTATACTAGCATGAGCATCTTTCATGCCGACGAATGAGAAAACGGACGAGATATCGTTTTCCAGGAATACTTCGCTGTGCTCTATTGTTGTGTGGCGTAACTACCACTACGAGAATTAAACATCAATTCACTGGTATATAAGACATGCTAACTTGACTCAATGATGAGGTACCTTTTGATAGATGAAGGTTGGCATGGTCGATAACTCCGCTCCCACATTGGTGACCCGGACGTGATTTGACCACGCAGTAACGCCTACTTCGCAATCTCATGACAGTAACGCCTACTTCGATGTATGATCCACATTGAACAGTTGATTTGCTACTTGTGATAGCGGCATCATCCACCTCCTCATTCTGTTGCTGGTCAGCCTCGTCTCAAACATGCACACAATGTCGGCTAGCATACACTCGACTGCTAAAGGCAACACAGGAGTGATCACGTCTTTGAAGTTAATACACCTCTCACATTCAGCACTCAAAAACCCGGTGATCTTAATTCCAGCTCTCCCGGTCTTTCACAAGTACAGCAACTAAGTGGAAACCGTTCATCGAATTCTATCTCTGATAAAATCTTGGTGGGGGAGTATTGTGGCGTAACTACCACTACGAATATTAAACATCAATTCACTGGTATATAAGACATGCTAACTTGATTCAGTCACGAGGTACCTTTTGATAGATGAAGGTTGGCATGGTCGATAACTCCGCCCCCACAGTTGTATTAGTGAATATGGTTATTGATTACAATTGAGTATTAGTTTTTAAAGTGAAACAAACAAATTTTAAAGAAATTTGAGTTTTATTTCAATTTTAGAACTGCGGAGGAAGCGCGTCATTACAGCAATGAAAGTGTTAATGATGGTATAGTTGAAAACTCTTCCTCTCAATCGTATTTTGCTCAATCGAGACGATCTTGAAACAAAGTCAATCGCTAGGTGTTTTATTTTCTTACTCAAAAAGAAACCGGTTCCAAAAGTTTGTTTTTCTCACTTGTATAGAACACTATAGTATGGTTCCTCTTCTCAATGATTCCTTCTTCTATCCATCTCATTTCTTGCACGGCGACTAAGTCAATATCGCGCCTCTCAAATTCTTTAATTAAGAAATGCAGTCCCTTGTTAAAGTACAGAGTACGAACATTCGTTTCGTCGATTTCTTTTAGGCAGTAGGATATTTTTGTCCTTGGATTTCGTAACACGAGACTTTTTGTGGGATAATGGAGTCAGCCTCACCCAACTTGGAAGACCAATTGTATTTCTTTAATTTACGAAATCAATTATTGACAAATTTTTGAATATGAATGAAAAACAAATATCAAAATACTTTTCTTTGATTGTATATTTTAGTACAAACATAATACCTACAATATAACAGATTTTTTTGGTAAGTATTAGACTGTTTTTTATGATTAAAAAATACGAAAATATATTTTTGCGTGTAATTTGAGCTTCAGAAAAAAAAGTACATAAAAGGGACACTGGAGTTCACTTATTTACCTTAAGGTAAATAAGTTAGTTTTTCAGAAATCTCAGCTAAATTAATCAATAAATAGAGTTAGAGCTTAGTAATAAAATTAGTAAATAGTAATAATATAATTCGTAATAATATAATTAGTAAGTTAGTAATAATGAAAGCAAAGTGTAGACAATTGAAATAATGAAAACATACACTTCTCCAACATAAATTCTCCAAACCAAACAATAATAAAAGAAGAATCAAAATTAGGATTAAAGCTGTATAAAATGCAAATAATTTAATCCTAAACGTATTTTTTACCCACAATTTTATCACTTAGTTTAATATAAATTATGACTATCATCTAGATTTCATTAAATTTGCATTTATCATTAGAGCTTCTATCATGACCATCTTTAATAGTACCAAAAGAACTTTCCCAGAATTGTTTGTCTCGCGATATTGAACTTGGAACAACTACGATAATAGAACTTTTCTTCGTGCGGTTCGTAGATTAAATTAGTAACGGTCTTGCCACCGTAAAAGGATCATCATTTACAAGATCGAAATTCCGGAACCTGATTTCTGACCGAGCGGCCAAAGCCTGCTGATAGAACGAACGCCCACCTCTCTAAAGTTACCTTTCTTGTCAACAACCACCTGTTCGATAGAGCGAGGGAATCGAGAGTTAGCCGGACCTTCATGAAAGGGAAAGCAAAGAAGCTCCAGAGTTTTTGAGAGGAAGTAAAAAAAAGTTAACGTTCGCTAAGTTTGTTTTTAAGGTCACGTGTTTTTAAATGTTGTGTTTGGAATAGTTTAGGAGTTGAAAGTTTTACGTTTCTTATTATAAGTAATTTGTTCTGAAAACGATTGTGATTTGAAAAAAATTGATAAACTGTTTTATGTAAGTTATGGAGAAAAAACGAGTAAGTTAGAAGTTCTGTTTTTGATATTAAAAGAGTACAATACAGTGCAATTTTTAAAAATTGAAAGAAAAAAATTATTGCATTTTTCGGTTGTTTATTTTTTTAAGATTATTGCACCAAAATATTAAATTGATTTTCAAAAATTGGATCAACCGTTTGATGTAAGTTATGGAGAAAATGTTAGTAAGTTACAAGTTCTGTTTTTGATATTAAAGGAGAACAAGACATTGCAATTCTCAAAAATTGAAGAAAAAAAAATTATTGCATTTTTCAGTTGCTAATATTTTTAAGATTATTGTACCAAAATATTACATTGATTCGCAAACATTGGATTAACTGTTTGCTGTAAGTTATGGAGAAAAAGTGGGTAAGTTACAAGTTCTGTTTTTGATATTAAGAAAGAACATTAACGTGCAATTTTCAAAAATTGAAAGAAGAAAAAAATTGCATTATTCGATTGTTTATTTTTTTTAAGATTATTGTACCAAAATATTAAATTTATTTGTAGAAATTAAATTAACTGTTTGATATAAGTTATGGAGAAAAAGCGAGTAAGTTACAAGTTCTGTTTTGATATTAAGGGGAGAATAACACATTTAAATTTTCAAAAATTGAAAAAATATATAGAATTTTAAAATTTTTTATCGATTTGAAATTATAGTACCAAAATATTGAATGTTGAATATGCTTCAATAGCATATTCAAAATGCTTTTGCAGGACGCGTTGTAACATGCATGAGCTTGTGTACTCACTTGACTTCTGGATTTGCACACTCCTATCAAAACATTTTAGTAAACTTCTATCATTTTAACTATTTAATGAAATAATTTGCATAAATTATGTAAGAAAAAGAATTAATAGTACTTTCAATATAAATAGTTATTGCAACTTATTAAGCTGCAATAAACGCGTTGTGACATGAATGAGAAAGTGGACTTGTGCGCTCACTTGATTTATGGATTTGCACACTCCTATCAATACATTTTAGTTAACTTCTAGTTTTTAAATATAGTTTTTGTAGTATGCAGCGATTTTTGTAATTGAGTTGACTGATTTTGAGTAATTTACGAAATTTATTATTGTCATTTACGCAAATTATTATTGTCGCGAAAGTAACTTATTTTATATCATTTTTTGAAATCAATTATTTCAGAACACTGCCATTTTGAAAAAAAAATTTTTTTTCAAAAATCATTTATGCAGCAAAAATTTCATTCATGCAGTTTAAGAATAAAAAAAAAAATAAATAAAAAAAACGGAATCAAATTGGGGTGTTTTTTTAATTTTATGAGTGCGACAAGTTATGAATGATTTAAAAAATAAGTTATAAATATTGTATTAAATAAGCGCTAATTTTTTAAATATTTATAATCGTAGCATGATAAAATGAGGATTAAAATACTTATAGCAAGATAAAAAAATGTTTTGAGTTAAGTTGATCACAATCGTTGAAATGCACATGGAATTAAAACCTGGCATGCTGGAACGACTATATTTATTTATGAATTTAATACGATTTTGTTTTTTGAAACTCTAATTTATTCGAAAGTTAATGTAATTAGGTGCTTTTTTCGAAAATTTTTCTTCACTTTACATTTTGGTTTGCTAAGTAAAAAGAAGACTGAATTGAAATTAAGAGTGCAGAAAAAGTAAGACGAAATTAAAAACTTCTCATTATATGATTAGTTCAAGAATTATTAACGGTAAAACATATAGTAAAAAATACCATGCGAATCGATCTGCAGTACCCGCTAAAATGCAGCTACTGAGTAAAAAACAACAACAACCCATTTTGTTTGAAATGAGCTTTTTTCAAAATTGCAATTTGTTCGAGAGTTATTGAAACTTTAACTGCTTTTACAGTGATATTTTTCTTACTCTTTTTGATTTAAATATTGATCATTGATTGACTATAGACTATCGATCGTTGTAGAAAAATTATTTTTTCTCTCTCGAGATTTTTATTTTATAGGCTCGCGCTTAAGTTAGTGTCAAAAGCGAAAAAAAAAAGAATTAAAAGTAAATAAATAAATAACGTCAATAAGAGAGCGAAAGTGATTTGATATTGCGCAAATATAAATCTTAGCATCTATATTGAAATTTTTAAAAATTAAAAAACAAGAGAGAGAAAATTTTTTCCTTATTTAAACTGCAATTCTCGCTAAGTAGAAAAATTACTCCTCATTTATTTCTATATCTTGAGTCATACAATCTGTATAAGTCACGATCATTTAAAAGTAAAATCTGTATTCACTTTTAAATTATCATGATCATCACGATCCTTTAAATGTAGTATATAGATTCTGCCAACTCTTCTGTCTTAGCTGCCAACTCTTCTGTATTTTCCCAGGAAGAGTCAATATTTATATACATATCCTAATGGTAGCGAAATTGGAGCTTCGAAATTTAAATCGTAATTTAATACATTTTTCAAAATGATTTTGATTACTATTAGATAGAAATATTGAAATAGATTTGTGAAAGACCTGATAACTATTGAATAAGGATTTATACTGTTGGTGAATATTTTAAATTGCTCTCTTAATGATTCCCAATTTAATTTTAAATCTCTACCACTATGAAAAGTTTGCAGCTATGTTGTTGGAAGTCTATCTTTATGTTGAAAAAAGTTCCTGCCGCCATAATCATCAACAGTTTCAGAAAATTTTGTTTGCGCTCCCTTTTTATTCTAAAGAAGTAAAAGCTATAGGATGAATGAATCTAAAATTTTGCTCATCATGTTTTTCGAGAAAATTTTGTACATTTTGTTATGAAAATGTTACTGATATGAACATCAGATCTTATATCAGAAAATTAGCACTACACGTTCAAATTTTAAATTTGTTTNCTCGCCAGATTTAGCCCCCAGTGACTACTGGCTCTTTGCTGATCTTAAAAAAGTGCTCCAGGGAAAAAGATTTGGCTCAAATGAGGAGGTCATCGCTGAAACTGAAGCTTATTTTGAAGCGAAAGATAATTTTTTTTATAAACATGGTATTGAAAAATTGGAAAAGCGTTGGAACGATTGTATCACCCTAAAAGGTGATTATGTTGACGAATAAAAAAAATTTTGCAAAAAATTTTTTGTTTTCATTGTTAGTCTCGGGACTTATTGATCCATGTGTTATATGATGAACGAATATAAAATTTTGCTCATCATATTTTTCGAGAAAATTTTGTACATTTTGTCATGAAAATGTTGATACGAACATTATTATTTGAGTTACTTTATGCCAATTTTTTTTTTGAGGGGGGGGGGTGTTTATTACTCAGTGTAGCAAAAATTATTAAAAGGAGAATTATGATGTTTTATAATCATTAGCTCTTATATCAGAAAATTAGCACTACGTGCTTAAATTTTAAATTTGTTTATGCGTAATTAAATAGTTTATTTTCATCCTTTTTTTTAGCGTTTTTCTTTTCTTCAAATTTTCAGATGGAAAAGAGCAAAGTATTCCCAGTAATATTAAATTTTTTTGTAGGAACCTATTTTTATGTCAGGTGTGAAAAGGAAATCATGACTTTCTATTTTAAATTTCAAACTGACTTCGATTAAATTTCAAAGTTTGCTTTTTCGGCTCTTTTTGAAGAATTTCATTTATAATATCTTTGAAAGATTTGAAAAAAAAAATTAATATATTTTAACATTGTTTGGAAAATAACATGATCAAACATTCTCTTTTCCTTAATTCGAATAATTTTTTTCTCCATTTTGTTTTGGTTTGTTGTGTGCGGTGCTTGTTTTGCTTTTTTTTTCATTTTTGAGGAGAAATTTAATGGTTTATTCATAGAAGATTCACTGGGAATTAAAAGTTATGTCCGTAATCAGAGACGTCCGCTTTGTAGTACTGTTCGTAACGGGAGGTTTCAACGTATATTTAAATAGAAATGTATCTTTTTTTAAAACAGGGTTATTTTAATTTTCAGCTCATCGAAATTAATTCGGTAAGAATATGTCAAACAAATAAACCAGAACAGGAGTTAATCTTGAGGTTTAAAAGTAAACAACATCTTAAAGTCGAATAAAGCTTCACGTGTCAAAAGCATTGCTTGAAAACATTCTTCCGTGTTTTGGTCAATCGATTCGGACCTTGAATGAATTGTCAAACAATCAAATGCGTGGACGTATAATGATGAAATATTGCAAAATAGTGCTAACGGTTACGAGTAAGTCCACTCTTCTATAAGGGAAAGTTGTTATAAGAGCCCTGAGGTCGTCGCTCTAAGTGGGTGTTGAAAGGTCACTCGCCAATCGTTGTGGGCGATATTCACTTTCGTGGGATGTTCTTCTAAGATTGGAATGTTTTAACGCACGGTTGAGGAATTAAGAAGATCTGATGAAGCTGCCATAATTTTGATGATCTAGAGTAAAATTACAGAGCATTGAACACCAGACTTGCTATTATTTCTAAAATGATTGTTCGTGGTTGTTAGATCCGAAACTGTGACTTGTCCCTCAACGCTAAATTTTTTTTATATGTACAATCAGAAAAATCGGTTCCTCAAAGAGCTATAGGGTCTGTACTTTGAACCATAATACGGTGCAAATTAGCAGCGATCTTAGGATAGTGTAAGATAAGATAATGTTTCTGTTCAAATTGTATTATTGTAATTAACTTTAAATATATCGATGAAATGGTTCACTTTTGCACCATAATATGGTTGCAGCAAATTTGTAAGGGCAACCCCAATCGAGGTGACGTAATCACGATGATTCCAGTCACTGTCTGCTTTACTGTGACGTACTGAGTGATTTACGGGTAAAAAGAAACAAGTTCCGGTTCACCGTCGAATATGACATCATAAGCGCCTTGTCCAATTATAAACTATCTATAGCTCCATCACTGCTAGTGTGAAGGCGTTTTTAGTTATTTGTTTTCGCAAAGTTTAAATGGATAACGAAGACTCTTGCGTTTTAACAGCTAGTTCAGAGATTTTATTTCAACTGGCAATTTTTTTTCGAAAACTGAAGTTATTACAACTTATCATATGATATTGT